TGGTTGATGTTCACTACATATAAGAATTAAACGGCAACGTATAAATTTTTGTCAAGAACGGATGCAGAACTATCATGACTATAGCACTATTGTGTACGAATAAAACGTAAGCGAAAGACGTATATATCCATATTTTTACAGTCCGGTTTATACACCACAGAAGGGACTTTTAAAGACCAAGTCATCATCAATGAATAATTTTACGCATTATGTGCAGTATTGACGACCCATTTGTGACCAAACAAATTTGAACAGTGGCGTCGTCTTTTATAGCGTTATTACAAAGTTAAGTGCTTTTCCTGCTTTGATTTTTATTCATTATGTTCATCCATGTTCTTTTTTTCGTCTATTAGCTGAGATTAAAAGGGGGAGACCTGAGATCTCAAATCTAGTGTAGCCCCGCTACATAAGCATTCGCCTGTCCAAAGCCCAGAACTGTCCTACGACAACGTCATATCTTGATTTTTGTTATTTGCAGAATTTTCTGTTAGATTTATCAACAACTATTATAGAATCTGGGTAGTTTAGAGCTTGGCACATACCTACTGTCGAAGATAATATGTATTCTGGTTTGTTCTTGTCGCAGGGTTGCTGTCGCATTGATATTTTTGATGTTTTTGATGGGGTTCGTGTTGCTTAGTCTTTAGTTTTCTATGTAATGTCTTGTGTATTATTATTTGTCTGTTTGTCTTTTTCTTTTTTTGCCATGGCGTTGTCAGTTTGTTTTCGATCTATGAGTTTGAATGTCACTCTGGTATCTCTCGCCTCTCTTTTAGTCAGAGTGAGTAGCTTACAAAGACTGACCCTATCTAAATACACAGAGATACTATATCAATTAAATTCCCCTTCCATCATAGGAACTTGATATTTTTGGAAACATACTTTCATTTTATCGAAACATTGCAATAGTTTCCAAAGTATTCTGTAAATCCCCTCTACCTCGAGTGGGTTTGTTATTTAAGATGAAAAACTGCATCCACCGGACTTAGTTAAAAAGAGAATGTATCAATTATCGAATATGAATGATATCTAGGGAGGGGAAGGGAGGTATGAGCGCTGAATCCTTTCTAAAGTGTCACATTGAATTTGGAGTTTTCAAAATTGAAATAAGTTCGCAATTTTAAACAATTGATTGTACACCGAATAAAAGACTTCATATTTTTGCATTATGTTTAATGTTGAGCCGTTACACCACCATCTTGTGGAAAAATATTTTTAATCCCGCCATATCTTAATGTGTCTTTCCCAAGTTAGGAGACTGTAATTTAGTGGTTGTAGTTGGTTGCTGTCTGTCATATTTTGTGTTCTTGTATGGCTAAGTCATTACTCAGCAAGTTTGTTTTCTCGTTTAAATTGTTCGTAATTTACGCTTCAATATTCTTTGATAAGTTCTTATTGATTTTGGAAAGAAGTAACCCTTTGACATCAAAAACATTACATGCTATTATTTTACAAAATATATGATAAGGACGTCAACTGTCAAAGCTAGGCATAATGCCATTAACTATTTTTATAAACGAAAAATGAAAAAAATAATCCGTTCCTCAAAATACAGATTTTGTTCCGTTTCGTTGCGTTTCGTTTCTTAATTTACATGTTTCGTTTTGTTTCGCCGTGTTTCGTTTCGTTTCGTTTCGCTGTGTTTCGTTTCGTTTCGTTTCGCTGTGTTTCGTTTCGTTTCGTTCTGTTTCGTTTCTCACTTTACAGGGACCCTCAAGTTTATGTCTTTGTATAATAATGAAATTGAAGGATACGGCGTTGCAAACAGCACTCACAGTACTGTGTAAAACCGAGTACATCGGGAAAACTTGTGTCAACTCGTTTAACATTTTCTAAAAATGATTTTATTACCCTCAATATCATTACCAGCTGATCACTATGACCAATCTGAATGGTATGTGGATATTTCTGTGTTGTTTCTTCTTTCAATGCTGTCTGTGTCTGACAGTGGTGACGATATTTCTAAGTCACGGCTTATCAGCTTTTAACACGAAAGGGATCAGACAGCAAAGCCCTTCTTTTACCTCTATTCGTGTATTGTGTGATTTGGAAATTTTTCCTTATGAAAACCAAGTTGGTGCCATTCAACACGCCATTTTCTTTGAATCAAAACAACCCTTGTCATGATTTTTGATGTCCCCGAATTGAACATATTTTGTTATAACTACCAGCAGGTAAAATCTATACTGCACAGTATAAAAGTATACTGTTGTTAGTGTTACTAGCAGACTAATTTTACTAATAGATTCCAACTAAAAGTGGCTAATATTGCAGGATCGGGTGTCTGTCAAACAGAGGGGAGGGAGGGGGAACAAACTTTCTTTTTTTTTTTTAAAGTGGAGTAGAAGCTATGAGATTTCGAAAAAATATTACATTCCACTGGAGGCGTTTCTTTAAGCTTATTTTAAAGCAGAAAACATCTAACAAAAACAGACCGGACGTGGCAGGGTATTCATCCCTAACTATTTGTTTATGTTTATTATTGCATTGTTTTTCATGTTTTTCTATTCTATACATGTATTCATATCATATTTCATATTCATTATCGTATTACATTGACGCTTGACGAAGTACAAATCCAAATCAAGCACGCATTTTTACCTGCATGCTTTCTAGTTACCGCCAAAAATCCCTTCTTACCTGTACTATCTTTTCATAACTGTATTCTGTATTCAGATGAAGGAACCTGCAGATAACTTGTGCCATAATCTATATATTTACATGTTAGTTTTTCTATTTGTTAGTGTTAAGGTTCAGTTCTAATATTGAATAACTGTGTTATTTGTTTGACTACTATTGTTCAATGGTATATTTATACTATTTGTAACTTTCATTGTATATAGATATAAGAAGATGTTGTATCACAAGTGCTAATGAGACAACTCTCCATTCAAGTCATTATATATATTTGTTTTGCATGCACACGTATAAAAATTGCGGTTTTTATCCAACGCAATCATAGGTTTGAACGTTGTTTTCAATTTAGGTTTGTTTATATTTTTTCGTTTGGGCTTGTATTTTATTTGCCTTCGGGTTTATATAATCCGTTCATCCTATTTTGACTCTTTAAAATTCAAGAGTCTATCCAAAATCGAGGTAAATTATATGGCCTTCCAAATGCCGTTTTGATTCCTAACATCACCGAAGAGACATTAATTGTCGAAATCCGGATATGGTGTACAATTTTTGCACCTCATGTTTGCGGTATACCATCTTTTCCGCAAGTTTATTGTTTTCTGTTTGGTAATAAATTAATAATAAGATCTATTTTGTTACATCTTGTAATCCGTTTATTTGGCAATCGCCAATGGCAGTCAGTAGGGTTTAAGAACATCAGTTGTTTGACCTGCTAGTCAAATGCGATTTTGTTAAAATAGACTGTTTCACTTTTTTGGTCTTTTGGAAATTGTTGTTTGTGCTGTATTTAGACCCCTCTACCAAGAAATTTGTTTTGCATGCACACGTATAAAAATTGCAGTTTTTATCCAACGCAATCATAGGTTTGAACGTTGTTTTCAATTTAGACTTTTATATATTTTTTCGTTTGGGCTTGAATTATAATTTCCTTCGGGTTTATATGATCCGTTCATCCTATTTCGACTCTTTAAAATCCAAGAGTCTTTCCTAAATTGAGGTAAATTATATGGCCTTCCAAATACCGTTTCGATCCCCAACATCACTGAAGAGACATTAATTGTCGAAATCCGGATATGGTGTACAAATTTTTGCACCTCATGTTTGTGGTATACCATCTTTTCCACAAGTTTATTGTTTATATATTTTGTATATATATATATATATATATATACAGAAAAAATATTTGTGGGCACTTGCGAAATTATATAGCCATATGGGAAACATACCCGCGGACACTAATAACAAAATAGCCACAAAGTAGAGATCTGAGAGTACTATCAGTTACTGACAGCGATAGTTCAAAGCAAATAACTAATGAAAAATTCATGTATCTTAGACTAAAATGTGTTTACTTTTTACAATTTTAGAGGAATTGTGAATGGTGTACAAATCGTACTAAAATTGTAAATCAATGTCCAACCTGGGACTATTATACTAACATAGTATAATAGTCCCAGGTCCAACACACAATTGTAAAACTGTGCACTACATAAAATATTTAAGGGCGCAAACATAATTTTTTTTAGGTAAAATTATCGAAATATTCTTTATTAAGCTGAGGATAACCCATGCTTTGCAAATTTTAGGAGGGCGCACGCCCGCCACTCCCCCGCCTGAATCCGCCCCTGTTACTTTGCGTGAAAATATGTACTGTTCAATTTTACAATTTCCATGGGGAATAATGCATGGTGTACAGATTGTATGAAAATTGTAAAACAATGTACACAATTATAAAACTGTGCATTACGTAAATTATAAAGCTTGCACAGTTTCACAATTGTTTGCCCAACCCAGTTGCATTATTTTACGTGCATATGATAACGTGCATAAATAGCTATATATAAAAAAGAAGATGTGGTATGATTGCCAATGAGACAACTTCCCACAAGAGACCAAATGACACAGAAATTAACAACTATAGGTTATCGTACGGCCTTAAACAATGAGCAAAGCACATACCGCACAGTCAGCTATAAAAGGCCATGCACACTTTTACAAGTAAATATACATTTATTGCTCATTGTGTACAGTATGTATGAAAATTGTAAAACAATGCATGCCCATGCAGTTTGACAAACAATTGCAAAACTCTGCATTACGTAAATATTAAAGCATGCTTGCAAAGTTTCTCAATTGTTTGACGAATCCGGTTGTTTTATTTTGCGACAAAACACCTCTGATCGTCACGGTTCATTAGACCACACTGTCAAGATGTTCTCTGTTTTTATTAGTTACTTATGATTTGGCGGGTTATTTCTTTTGTTCTAATTACAACTCATATCATGAGCCAGAGGGAATTAATTTCGATGTGAGCAGCTAACACGTTAAACTGGTCCGCCGTTCCATCTATAGCTTCGCACCGATAAGTGAACACAACAGGGGTCCAGTTTACTAACACGTTACATTGAACTGAGTGTTCACAAAGATTTGACATCTTTTTGGTTGGAAAGTTTCTTCTACAAGGTCGGTTTTATTCTTTCTTTATAAATAACATAATAATGGTCTAATAATAGTAGATTTTACACAGAATGAATGTGCAGTTTATGTTGGTGACTGTCGAAAAGGAGTATTATAAAGACAATCAGAAAAGTGGAGATGACTCTGTGGAAATGTTTCATTTGTGTCGCAATAAATAATTTTTTTTTTAATTTTCACATGATATAACATTAATTATAACAGAGACATATATTATTATATGTCTCTGATTATAATAAAATGGTAAATTCATTTTATTTGTTTCTAAGAGGAAAAAAATAAATATGAAACATAAGAATTTCACAAGTGAAGAATTTAATATCATGACTATATATAGTATTTGTCTGAATTTGAAATGGAAAAAGGTAATGCAGAAAAAATGTTTGTTTTGTGGGGAAAGATATAGATAATAAACCATGTAAGAAAATGTTGTTGAAAATAGGAGCATACAGTTTTTACATCATGAAATAAAAACAGAGCAGTGCTGTTAGTAAATATAATTTTAAAAGTCAGTAAGGCCATGTGAGTTTTGTCCCTTACATAATGATGAGGTATATAAATGAATGACCATTTGTACTTGGGACGCTTTAGTAGGCAGTACAGATGGTTAAAAATGTTTGTCAAAAACACTTGGCATCATACATATATTGCAATAAGCATTTTTTTGTGTATTTAATCATGTTTTTATTTATTTGACTGTCTGGCAGACCTAGAATGTTAGTTTCTAATGCAAATACTAAATATGATTCCCCTCAACTAAATTAGTTAATGTTATGCTTCAATAGTACCATATGCTGTTGACAGTTGTTAAAGAGTTCTGATAGATTATACAAATGTTTCAACCGTCTTGATTGCAGTTCACATGAACTTTTATATAAGGGTTGTCTATTTTCAAATCTGAATTCCATACATATATATATATATATATATACATGTAATGTATATGCATAGCAATAAACTGAGCTTAATGCAAAGGACTTTAAAACTACACTTAGACAGAAAACTCAATTCAGTGATATACTTTGTAATACTGGATATAATCATGATAACTTGAATAATTCACAACTGATTGTTACCAAACTCCATGGCGATCCTGAAAAAAATATAAAAAAATGTTTCTACTAGAATACAAAGTAAGCTATCACAAATATTCAGTGCTAATCTAGTTGTAGTTACTACTTGCACAATATATATGCCAAGAGCTGACCGTGCCTCTCATTTTGACACATAAACTGACTTCAACCTTTCAACAAACACTGGGTAACAAACATTGGATTTCAATGTCTTATAATTTTAGTCTTTTTTTGTCTTTGGTTTGTTTTTACCTTTGTTCACAAATTGACCAATATATATTCAATGCATTTATATAAACAAATTTGTAGTTAATGTCTTTAAAAGGACTGTCTGACGTTGGGTAGAGAAATATTGGCAATTCAATGGTCTAAATGTCCAGTAAGGGAACAGTTGTTAAACTCTGAGGAGGTGTTAGGGTTTTCCTTTAACATGTTTAATGTCTTTTGGTCTCTTTTCCTTTTTTGCCATGGCGTTTTAAGTTTATTTTTGGCTTGTGAGTTTGAATATCCCTTTGGTATCTTTCACCTCTTTCCAAGAAATAAATATTGTGACCAAGCAGAAGGGAAAAAAATAATTGTCTGATCAGGACATTTTGCCATTAAACTCAATGTTAAGTTTGGACTTATTGTGCATCTTGAAATTGATGAAAAAAAATTAAATTGGATATCTAAACATTGCTAGAAGGAATTTAATCAGAAGCAAAATAAATGATTCTGTAGAAACAAATGCATGAAGATACCCTTCTAGACAATTATGATTGTAAATAAGTCCATAACTCTAGAAGGTGGAAGACCTGGATGCTTCATACTTTGTAAATAGATGCCTTATGTTATGAAGTTTCTGTCTGTCATATGACCATTGTCCTTGATTTTCATGGTTCAGTGAATACTTGAAAAAAAAGTTTAATTTTTTTATAATGTTAATTTCTCTTATTATGAGTAATAGGATAATTATATTTAGTATGTGCGTACCTTGCAAGGTCCTCATGCCTGTCAGACAGTTCATCTGACCTCGACCTCATTTCATGAATCAGTAAACAAGGTTAAGTTTACAGGTCAAGTTCACATCTCAGATACTATAAGCAATAGGACTACTAAATTTGGTGTATGGAATGATTGTAAGGTGTGCATGTCCAATTGACAGGTGTCATCTGACCTTGACCTCATTTTCATGTGTTTTTTTTTCTAATACTATATGCAATAGGACAACTTTATTTGGTGTATGGAAATATTTTACGATGTACATGTCAGTCTGGTAGGTTTTATTTGATCTTGACCTCATTTTCACGGTTCATTGCTCAGTGTTCAGTTTTTATGTTTTTGGTCTGTTTTTTTTTTAAATATAAACAATAGGTCAACTACATTTGGTGTATGGAATTATTGTAAGGTGTACATGTCTGTCTTGCAGGTATCATATGACCTTGACCTCATTTTTATGGTTCATTGGTCAATGTTAAGTTTTTGTGTTTTGGTCTGGTATTCATGGATCTTTAAAAATGTTAAGTTTATGTGATACTTGTAGTAAAATCGTTATCTTTAAGATTTTCAACATAAAATCAATTGTCAGTAAAGCAGGAGAGACATTTCAGCATGTGCACTCTTGTATAATTTTATTGGGGTGTAAAAGCGTTGATGGAAGCACATTTTGTAAGCACTTCAGATTAAAAATGTGTGCAAGATCAACCCTTTTACAACCCTAGTTATATAGCTGAGAGGGTGAGAGAGATTGTCACCTCTAAAAAAAAAATGTCAACCTTAGTGTCACATAATTATAATGACTTTTTATGAAATTAAGGGTTATATAGGTTTTTTTTAATGCATTATTTTAACAATGTCATGGATAGCCTGTGGAGTCATAGCTGTTGTATTTTATACAGAGTTTGGGTGCCTAATGATTACTGTCAGTAATCAAAATTACGGATTCTAGTGTCAGAAACATACATGTTATGTTATTATTTTCAGGTAAAAGTTTTTTTTCTTTTCTCTTTGATTTCTCTTATAAAAGTAAATAAGAGATAGTTTAATTCTAAATTTGTAACAAAAGAGGCTCAAACAGCTGGCTGTTTATAGTGAAATGGAGATCATAATTACAATAAGTCATGGATAACTTTCAACATGATAGCTATTATGCACCATACTGTTTACAATTCTTTCACAATATTAACAGATTCTATGTCATATATTAAGGAATTGTTGAACTAACACAATCCTTTACCAGTGCACCACAGGATAAAACTCTTATTCTAAAACCAATATAAAAATAACACAGAGCTGAGGGGGGATAGAGAAGATTGTTACAGTGAGAAAAAACAAAAATAATGTTCTATTATTGCAATGCATAGTCTAAATTTTAAATTGAAAGAAATAAACTATGGTGTCATGTACATAAAAACCATCCATTTGAAAAAAATACACAAATGATCAAGCGTCTCCTTGATTGGCATTAGACTATATATAAGCCATGGGATAGAGTAGAATGTCTCCCTCATATTAAAACAATCACAATCTGTCACTTTCAATCTAACCTTGACCTCAGGTTTATTTTTTTAACTCTGGATAAAGGATCTACAAGCGATTCCTGGTCTACGATTTCCTAAAATTATTAACAAAATCTTCCACTATCTTCATAATTTTTTCATAGAAATTAGGACTCTGTATTTGAATTTACTAAATGTCTCATCAATATTAAAATAATTTGAATATATATTACAGATAGATGGAAGCCCAGAGAAGAAAGTACAGTCCTAGACCTGGAGACGATTGAATTGAAGATGCCTAGATGATGATGTAGGTATTTTGTCATTACAATTGTACTTAAACTGTTAATAAGTTGTAAGGTAATAAAATCAGTTTTCCCTGGAGAAACAGCTTAAAAATTTATTACAAATTAGTCCAACATTTCTTTTGCAAATTTATACTCTAATGAAATATATTTTAATAAAAAAGTATACTTGTATTCCAATTTAGGATTTGAATTAAAACATGCATCACATTAATTTCTGAATAAATTATAACAGCAAATAGTCTCTTAACATTGACAATTTGGAAACCCTTTCTCTAATAGTCTCATTTGAACGAAACAAAAGTTTCCAATTGTCAATTTGGATATCTACATATTTAGTCGATTTTTTTAAAGTAATTTGGAAAATATGACTTGATTTAGATTGTTTGAAATTCAGTTGAATTTTAATCATTTCTGTTCAAAATGTATACATCAGATTGTTTTGGTTACCGGTAGCCACCAACTTCTGATAATTTGACAGGAACATTAATTTCGGAAATAATGATTATATCATTAAACCATCTTCATTACTGATTGAAATATAGATTTAAAATGAAAATAAGTGAATGATATATAGTCAAAAAGAGCAATTGACCAATGATGATGGCTGCCATTAATGCCAGTTTTTCTATATAGATATATTGAAGAAAAAAAAAATTAAAGTAGCAAATTTTTTAAGTTTTATATTTGGTTCAATATTTTTGAACTTATTTTGTCTTTGTTTCAGATACCAGCCCCAGGATATTTACGTCAGGACAGGTAACATATGCATCGGAAAGTAAGTATATTTTTTTTTATTTATTAATAGTTGTCTAATAGATATTAAAATAATTTGAATATGTATTACAGATAGACGGGAGCCAACAGAGAAGAAGAAGACAGTACAGTCCTAGACATGGAGATGATTAAATTGTAGATGCCAAGATGATGATGTAGGTATTTTGTTGTTACAATTGTACTTAAACTGTTAATAGTTGTAAGGTAATAAAATCAGTTTTCCCTGGAGAAACAGCTTGAAAATTTATTACAAATTAGTCCAAAATTTCTTTTCAAATTTATACTCTAATGAAAAAAGTATACTTGTACTCCAATTTAGGATTTGAATTAAAACATGCATCACATTAATTTCTGAATTAATTATAACAGCAAATAGTCTCTTAACATTGACAATTTGGAAACCCTTTCTCTAATAGTCTCACCTGTACGAAAGTAAAGTTTCCGATTGTCAATTTGGATATCTACATATTTAGTCGATTTTTTTTTAAAGTAATTTGGAAAATATGACTTGATTTAGATTGTTTGAAATTCAGTTGAATTTTAATCATTTCTGTTCAAAATGTATACATCAGATTGTTTTGGTTAGCCACCAACTTCTGATAATTTGACACGCACATTAATTTCGGAAATAATGATTATATCATTAAACCATCTTCATTACTGATTGAAATATAGATTTAAAATGAAAATAAGTTAATGATATACAGTCAAAAAGAGCAATTGACCAATGATGATGGCTGCCATTAATGCCAGTTTTTCTTTATAGATATTTTGAAAGAAAAACAAATTAAAGTAGCAAATTTTTTAAGTTTTATATTTGGTTCAATATTTTTGAACTTATTTTGTTTTTGTTTCAGATACCAGCCCCCAGGATATTTACGTCAGGACAGGTAACATATGCATCGGAAAGTAAGTATATTTTTTTTTATTTATTAATAGTTGTCTAATAGATATTAAAATAATTTGAATATGTATTACAGATAGACGGGAGCCAACAGAGAAGAAGAAGACAGTACAGTCCTAGACATGGAGATGATTAAATTGTAGATGCCAAGATGATGATGTAGGTATTTTGTTGTTACAATTGTACTTAAACTGTTAATAGTTGTAAGGTAATAAAATCAGTTTTCCCTGGAGAAACAGCTTGAAAATTTATTACAAATTAGTCCAAAATTTCTTTTCAAATTTATACTCTAATGAAAAAAGTATACTTGTACTCCAATTTAGGATTTGAATTAAAACATGCATCACATTAATTTCTGAATTAATTATAACAGCAAATAGTCTCTTAACATTGACAATTTGGAAACCCTTTCTCTAATAGTCTCACCTGTACGAAAGTAAAGTTTCCGATTGTCAATTTGGATATCTACATATTTAGTCGATTTTTTTTTAAAGTAATTTGGAAAATATGACTTGATTTAGATTGTTTGAAATTCAGTTGAATTTTAATCATTTCTGTTCAAAATGTATACATCAGATTGTTTTGGTTAGCCACCAACTTCTGATAATTTGACACGCACATTAATTTCGCAAATAATGATTATATCATTAAACCGTCTTCATTACTGATTGAAATATAGATTTAAAATGAAAATAAGTTAATGATATACAGTCAAAAAGAGCAATTGACCAATGATGATGGCTGCCATTAATGCCAGTTTTTCTTTATAGATATTTTGAAAGAAAAACAAATTAAAGTAGCAAATTTTTTAAGTTTTATATTTGGTTCAATATTTTTGAACTTATTTTGTTTTTGTTTCAGATACCAGCCCCAGGATATTTACGTCAGGACAGGTAACATATGCATCGGAAAGTAAGTATATTTTTTTTTTTCTTATTAATAGTTGTCTAATAGATATTAAAATAATTTGAATATGTATTACAGATAGACGGGAGCCAACAGAGAAGAAGAAGACAGTACAGTCCTAGACATGGAGATGATTAAATTGTAGATGCCAAGATGATGATGTAGGTATTTTGTTGTTACAATTGTATTTAAACTGGTAATAGTTGTAAGGTAATAAAATCAGTTTTCCCTTGAGAAACAGCTTGAAAATTTATTACAAATTAGTCCAAAATTTCTTTTCAAATTTATACTCTAATGAAAAAAGTATACTTGTACTCCAATTTAGGATTTGAATTAAAACATGCATCACATTAATTTCTGAATTAATTATAACAGCAAATAGTCTCTTAACATTGACAATTTGGAAACCCTTTCTCTAATAGTCTCACCTGTACGAAAGTAAAGTTTCCGATTGTCAATTTGGATATCTACATATTTAGTCGATTTTTTTTTAAAGTAATTTGGAAAATATGACTTGATTTAGATTGTTTGAAATTCAGTTGAATTTTAATCATTTCTGTTCAAAATGTATACATCAGATTGTTTTGGTTAGCCACCAACTTCTGATAATTTGACACGCACATTAATTTCGCAAATAATGATTATATCATTAAACCGTCTTCATTACTGATTGAAATATAGATTTAAAATGAAAATAAGTTAATGATATACAGTCAAAAAGAGCAATTGACCAATGATGATGGCTGCCATTAATGCCAGTTTTTCTTTATAGATATTTTGAAAGAAAAACAAATTAAAGTAGCAAATTTTTTAAGTTTTATATTTGGTTCAATATTTTTGAACTTATTTTGTTTTTGTTTCAGATACCAGCCCCAGGATATTTACGTCAGGACAGGTAACATATGCATCGGAAAGTAAGTATATTTTTTTTTTTCTTATTAATAGTTGTCTAATAGATATTAAAATAATTTGAATATGTATTACAGATAGACGGGAGCCAACAGAGAAGAAGAAGACAGTACAGTCCTAGACATGGAGATGATTAAATTGTAGATGCCAAGATGATGATGTAGGTATTTTGTTGTTACAATTGTACTTAAACTGTTAATAGTTGTAAGGTAATAAAATCAGTTTTCCCTGGAGAAACAGCTTGAAAATTTATTACAAATTAGTCCAAAATTTCTTTTCAAATTTATACTCTAATGAAAAAAGTATACTTGTACTCCAATTTAGGATTTGAATTAAAACATGCATCACATTAATTTCTGAATTAATTATAACAGCAAATAGTCTCTTAACATTGACAATTTGGAAACCCTTTCTCTAATAGTCTCACCTGTACGAAAGTAAAGTTTCCGATTGTCAATTTGGATATCTACATATTTAGTCGATTTTTTTTTAAAGTAATTTGGAAAATATGACTTGATTTAGATTGTTTGAAATTCAGTTGAATTTTAATCATTTCTGTTCAAAATGTATACATCAGATTGTTTTGGTTAGCCACCAACTTCTGATAATTTGACACGCACATTAATTTCGCAAATAATGATTATATCATTAAACCGTCTTCATTACTGATTGAAATATAGATTTAAAATGAAAATAAGTTAATGATATACAGTCAAAAAGAGCAATTGACCAATGATGATGGCTGCCATTAATGCCAGTTTTTCTTTATAGATATTTTGAAAGAAAAACAAATTAAAGTAGCAAATTTTTTAAGTTTTATATTTGGTTCAATATTTTTGAACTTATTTTGTCTTTGTTTCAGATACCAGCCCCAGGATATTTACGTCAGGACAGGTAACATATGCATCGGAAAGTAAGTATATTTTTTTTTATTTATTAATAGTTGTCTAATAGATATTAAAATAATTTGAATATGTATTACAGATAGACGGGAGCCAACAGAGAAGAAGAAGACAGTACAGTCCTAGACATGGAGATGATTAAATTGTAGATGCCAAGATGATGATGTAGGTATTTTGTTGTTACAATTGTACTTAAACTGTTAATAGTTGTAAGGTAATAAAATCAGTTTTCCCTGGAGAAACAGCTTGAAAATTTATTACAAATTAGTCCAAAATTTCTTTTCAAATTTATACTCTAATGAAAAAAGTATACTTGTACTCCAATTTAGGATTTGAATTAAAACATGCATCACATTAATTTCTGAATTAATTATAACAGCAAATAGTCTCTTAACATTGACAATTTGGAAACCCTTTCTCTAATAGTCTCACCTGTACGAAAGTAAAGTTTCCGATTGTCAATTTGGATATCTACATATTTAGTCGATTTTTTTTTAAAGTAATTTGGAAAATATGACTTGATTTAGATTGTTTGAAATTCAGTTGAATTTTAATCATTTCTGTTCAAAATGTATACATCAGATTGTTTTGGTTAGCCACCAACTTCTGATAATTTGACACGCACATTTATTTCAGAAATAATGATTATATCATCAAACTGTCTTCATTACTGATTGAAATATAGATTTAAAATGAAAATAAGTTAATGATATACAGTCAAAAAGAGCAATTGACCAATGATGATGGCTGCCATTAATGCCAGTTTTTCTTTATAGATATTTTGAAAGAAAAACAAATTAAAGTAGCAAATTTTTTAAGTTTTATATTTGGTTCAATATTTTTGAACTTATTTTGTTTTTGTTTCAGATACCAGCCCCCGGATATTTACGTCAGGACAGGTAACATATGCATCGGAAAGTAAGTATATTTTTTTTTTTCTTATTAATAGTTGTCTAATAGATATTAAAATAATTTGAATATGTATTACAGATAGACGGGAGCCAACAGAGAAGAAGAAGACAGTACAGTCCTAGACATGGAGATGATTAAATTGTAGATGCCAAGATGATGATGTAGGTATTTTGTTGTTACAATTGTACTTAAACTGTTAATAGTTGTAAGGTAATAAAATCAGTTTTCCCTGGAGAAACAGCTTGAAAATTTATTACAAATTAGTCCAAAATTTCTTTTCAAATTTATACTCTAATGAAAAAAGTATACTTGTACTCCAATTTAGGATTTGAATTAAAACATGCATCACATTAATTTCTGAATTAATTATAACAGCAAATAGTCTCTTAACATTGACAATTTGGAAACCCTTTCTCTAATAGTCTCACCTGTACGAAAGTAAAGTTTCCGATTGTCAATTTGGATATCTACATATTTAGTCGATTTTTTTTTAAAGTAATTTGGAAAATATGACTTGATTTAGATTGTTTGAAATTCAGTTGAATTTTAATCATTTCTGTTCAAAATGTATACATCAGATTGTTTTGGTTAGCCACCAACTTCTGATAATTTGACACGCACATTAATTTCGCAAATAATGATTATATCATTAAACCGTCTTCATTACTGATTGAAATATAGATTTAAAATGAAAATAAGTTAATGATATACAGTCAAAAAGAGCAATTGACCAATGATGATGGCTGCCATTAATGCCAGTTTTTCTTTATAGATATTTTGAAAGAAAAACAAATTAAAGTAGCAAATTTTTTAAGTTTTATATTTGGTTCAATATTTTTGAACTTATTTTGTTTTTGTTTCAGATACCAGCCCCAGGATATTTACGTCAGGACAGGTAACATATGCATCGGAAAGTAAGTATATTTTTTTTTTCTTATTAATAGTTGTCTAATAGATATTAAAATAATTTGAATATGTATTACAGATAGACGGGAGCCAACAGAGAAGAAGAAGACAGTACAGTCCTAGACATGGAGATGATTAAATTGTAGATGCCAAGATGATGATGTAGGTATTTTGTTGTTACAATTGTACTTAAACTGTTAATAGTTGTAAGGTAATAAAATCAGTTTTCCCTGGAGAAACAGCTTGAAAATTTATTACAAATGAGTCCAAAATTTCTTTTCAAATTTATACTCTAATGAAAAAAGTATACTTGTACTCCAATTTAGGATTTGAATTAAAACATGCATCACATTAATTTCTGAATTAATTATAACAGCAAATAGTCTCTTAACATTGACAATTTGGAAACCCTTTCTCTAATAGTCTCACCTGTACGAAAGTAAAGTTTCCGATTGTCAATTTGGATATCTACATATTTAGTCGATTTTTTTTTAAAGTAATTTGGAAAATATGACTTGATTTAGATTGTTTGAAATTCAGTTGAATTTTAATCATTTCTGTTCAAAATGTATACATCAGATTGTTTTGGTTAGCCACCAACTTCTGATAATTTGACACGCACATTAATTTCGCAAATAATGATTATATCATTAAACCGTCTTCATTACTGATTGAAATATAGATTTAAAATGAAAATAAGTTAATGATATACAGTCAAAAAGAGCAATTGACCAATGATGATGGCTGCCATTAATGCCAGTTTTTCTTTATAGATATTTTGAAAGAAAAACAAATTAAAGTAGCAAATTTTTTAAGTTTTATATTTGGTTCAATATTTTTGAACTTATTTTGTTTTTGTTTCAGATACCAGCCCCAGGATATTTACGTCAGGACAGGTAACATATGCATCGGAAAGTAAGTATATTTTTTTATTTATTAATAGTTGTCTAATAGATATTAAAATAATTTGAATATGTATTACAGATAGACGGGAGCCAACAGAGAAGAAGACAGTACAGTCCTAGACATGGAGATGATTAAATTGTAGATGCCAAGATGATGATGTAGGTATTTTGTTGTTACAATTGTACTTAAACTGTTAATAGTTGTAAGGTGATAAAATCAGTTTTCCCTGGAGAAACAGCTTGAAAATTTATTACAAATTAGTCCAAAATTTCTTTTCAAATTTATACTCTAATGAAAAAAGTATACTTGTACTCCAATTTAGGATTTGAATTAAAACATGCATCACATTAATTTCTGAATTAATTATAACAGCAAATAGTCTCTTAACATTGACAATTTGGAAACCCTTTCTCTAATAGTCTCACCTGTACGAAAGTAAAGTTTCCGATTGTCAATTTGGATATCTACATATTTAGTCGATTTTTTTTTAAAGTAATTTGGAAAATATGACTTGATTTAGATTGTTTGAAATTCAGTTGAATTTTAATCATTTCTGTTCAAAATGTACACATCAGATTGTTTTGGTTAGCCACCAACTTCTGATAATTTGACACGCACATTAATTTCAGAAATAATGATTATATCATTAAACCGTCTTCATTACTGATTGAAATATAGATTTAAAATGAAAATAAGTTAATGATATACAGTCAAAAAGAGCAATTGACCAATGATGATGGCTGCCATTAATGCCAGTTTTTCTTTATAGATATTTTGAAAGAAAAACAAATTAAAGTAGCAAATTTTTTAAGTTTTATATTTGGTTCAATATTTTTGAACTTATTTTGTTTTTGTTTCAGATACCAGCCCCAGGATATTTACGTCAGGACAGGTAACATATGCATCGGAAAGTAAGTATATTTTTTTTTTTTATTAATAGTTGTCTAATAGATATTAAAATAATTTGAATATGTATTACAGATAGACGGGAGCCAACAGAGAAGAAGACAGTACAGTCCTAGACATGGAGATGATTAAATTGTAGATGCCAAGATGATGATGTAGGTATTTTGTTGTTACAATTGTACTTAAACTGTTAATAGTTGTAAGGTGATAAAATCAGTTTTCCCTGGAGAAACAGCTTGAAAATTTATTACAAATTAGTCCAAAATTTCTTTTCAAATTTATACTCTAATGAAAAAAGTATACTTGTACTCCAATTTAGGATTTGAATTAAAACATGCATCACATTAATTTCTGAATTAATTATAACAGCAAATAGTCTCTTAACATTGACAATTTGGAAACCCTTTCTCTAATAGTCTCACCTGTACGAAAGTAAAGTTTCGGATTGTCAATTTGGATATCTACATATTTAGTCGATTTTTTTTTAAAGTAATTTGGAAAATATGACTTGATTTAGATTGTTTGAAATTCAGTTGAATTTTAATCATTTCTGTTCAAAATGTATACTTCAGATTGTTTTGGTTAGCCACCAACTTCTGATAATTTGACACGCACATTAATTTCAGAAATAATGATTATATCATTAAACCGTCTTCATTACTGATTGAAATATAGATTTAAAATGAAAATAAGTTAATGATATACAGTCAAAAAGAGCAATTGACCAATGATGATGGCTGCCATTAATGCCAGTTTTTCTTTATAGATATTTTGAAAGAAAAACAAATTAAAGTAGCAAATTTTTTAAGTTTTATATTTGGTTCAATATTTTTGAACTTATTTTGTCTTTGTTTCAGATACCAGCCCCAGGATATTTACGTCAGGACAGGTAACATATGCATCGGAAAGTAAGTATATTTTTTTATTTATTAATAGTTGTCTAATAGATATTAAAATAATTTGAATATGTATTACAGATAGACGGGAGCCAACAGAGAAGAAGAAGACAGTACAGTCCTAGACATGGAGATGATTAAATTGTAGATGCCAAGATGATGATGTAGGTATTTTGTTGTTACAATTGTACTTAAACTGTTAATAGTTGTAAGGTAATAAAATCAGTTTTCCCTGGAGAAACAGCTTGAAAATTTATTACAAATTAGTCCAAAATTTCTTTTCAAATTTATACTCTAATGAAAAAAGTATACTTGTACTCCAATTTAGGATTTGAATTAAAACATGCATCACATTAATTTCTGAATTAATTATAACAGCAAATAGTCTCTTAACATTGACAATTTGGAAACCCTTTCTCTAATAGTCTCACCTGTACGAAAGTAAAGTTTCCGATTGTCAATTTGGATATCTACATATTTAGTCGATTTTTTTAAAAGTAATTTGGAAAATATGACTTGATTTAGATTGTTTGAAATTCAGTTGAATTTTAAACATTTCTGTTCAAAATGTATACATCAGATTGTTTTGGTTAGCCACCAACTTCTGATAATTTGACACGCACATTAATTTCAGAAATAATGATTATATCATTAAACCGTCTTCATTACTGATTGAAATATAGATTTAAAATGAAAATAAGTTAATGATATACAGTCAAAAAGAGCAATTGACCAATGATGATGGCTGCCATTAATGCCAGTTTTTCTTTATAGATATTTTGAAAGAAAAACAAATTAAAGTAGCAAATTTTTTAAGTTTTATATTTGGTTCAATATTTTTGAACTTATTTTGTCTTTGTTTCAGATACAAGCCCCAGGATATTTACGTCAGGACAGGTAACATATGCATCGGAAAGTAAGTATATTTTTTTTTATTTATTAATAGTTGTCTAATAGATATTAAAATAATTTGAATATGTATTACAGATAGACGGGAGCCAACAGAGAAGAAGAAGACAGTACAGTCCTAGACATGGAGATGATTAAATTGTAGATGCCAAGATGATGATGTAGGTATTTTGTTGTTACAATTGTACTTAAACTGTTAATAGTTGTAAGGTAATAAAATCAGTTTTCCCTGGAGAAACAGCTTGAAAATTTATTACAAATTAGTCCAAAATTTCTTTTCAAATTTATACTCTAATGAAAAAAGTATACTTGTACTCCAATTTAGGATTTGAATTAAAACATGCATCACATTAATTTCTGAATTAATTATAACAGCAAATAGTCTCTTAACATTGACAATTTGGAAACCCTTTCTCTAATAGTCTCACCTGTACGAAAGTAAAGTTTCGGATTGTCAATTTGGATATCTACATATTTAGTCGATTTTTTTTTAAAGTAATTTGGAAAATATGACTTGATTTAGATTGTTTGAAATTCAGTTGAATTTTAATCATTTCTGTTCAAAATGTATACATCAGATTGTTTTGGTTAGCCACCAACTTCTGATAATTTGACACGCACATTAATTTCAGAAATAATGATTATATCATTAAACCGTCTTCATTACTGATTGAAATATAGATTTAAAATGAAAATAAGTTAATGATATACAGTCAAAAAGAGCAATTGACCAATGATGATGGCTGCCATTAATGCCAGTTTTTCTTTATAGATATTTTTGAAAGAAAAACAAATTAAAGTAGCAAATTTTTTAAGTTTTATATTTGGTTCAATATTTTTGAACTTATTTTGTCTTTGTTTCAGATACCAGCCCCAGGATATTTACGTCAGGACAGGTAACATATGCATCGGAAAGTAAGTATATTTTTTTATTTATTAATAGTTGTCTAATAGATATTAAAATAATTTGAATATGTATTACAGATAGACGGGAGCCAACAGAGAAGAAGAAGACAGTACAGTCCTAGACATGGAGATGATTAAATTGTAGATGCCAAGATGATGATGTAGGTATTTTGTTGTTACAATTGTACTTAAACTGTTAATAGTTGTAAGGTAATAAAATTAGTTTTCCCTGGAGAAACAGCTTGAAAATTTATTACAAATTAGTCCAAAATTTCTTTTCAAATTTATACTCTAATGAAAAAAGGATACTTGTACTCCAATTTAGGATTTGAATTAAAACATGCATCACATTAATTTCTGAATTAATTATAACAGCAAATAGTCTCTTAACATTGACAATTTGGAAACCCTTTCTCTAATAGTCTCACCTGTACGAAAGTAAAGTTTCTGATTGTCAATTTGGATATCTACATATTTAGTCGATTTTTTTTTAAAGTAATTTGGAAAATATGACTTGATTTAGATTGTTTGAAATTCAGTTGAATTTTAATCATTTCTGTTCAAAATGTATACATCAGATTGTTTTGGTTAGCCACCAACTTCTGATAATTTGACACGCACATTAATTTCGCAAATAATGATTATATCATTAAACCGTCTTCATTACTGATTGAAATATAGATTTAAAATGAAAATAAGTTAATGATATACAGTCAAAAAGAGCAATTGACCAATGATGATGGCTGCCATTAATGCCAGTTTTTCTTTATAGATATTTTGAAAGAAAAACAAATTAAAGTAGCTAATTTTTTAAGTTTTATATTTGGTTCAATATTTTTGAACTTATTTTGTTTTTGTTTCAGATACCAGCCCCCAGGATATTTACGTCAGGACAGGTAACATATGCATCGGAAAGTAAGTATATTTTTTTTTATTTATTAATAGTTGTCTAATAGATATTAAAATAATTTGAATATGTATTACAGATAGACGGGAGCCAACAGAGAAGAAGAAGACAGTACAGTCCTAGACATGGAGATGATTAAATTGTAGATGCCAAGATGATGATGTAGGTATTTTGTTGTTACAATTGTACTTAAACTGTTAATAGCTGTAAGGTAATAAAATCAGTTTTCCCTGGAGAAACAGCTTGAAAATTTATTACAAATTAGTCCAAAATTTCTTTTCAAATTTATACTCTAATGAAAAAAGTATACTTGTACTCCAATTTAGGATTTGAATTAAAATATGCATCACATTAATTTCTCAATTAATTATAACAGCAAATAGTCTCTTAACATTGACAATTTGGAAACCCTTTCTCTAATAGTCTCACCTGAACGAAAGTAAAGTTTCCGTTTGTCAATTTGGATATCTACATATTTAGTCAATTTTTTTAAAGTAATTTGGAAAATATGACTTGATTTAGAATGTTTGAAATTCAGTTGAATTTTAATCATTTCTGTTCAAAATGTATACATCAGATTGTTTTGGTTAGCCACCAACTTCTGATAATTTGACAGGAACATTAATTTCGGAAATAATGATTATATCATTAAACCATCTTCATTACTGATTGAAATAGAGATTTAAAATGAAAATAAGTGAATGATATATAGTCAAAAAGAGCAATTGACCAATGATGATGGCTGCCATTAATGCCAGTTTTTCTATATAGATATTTTGAAAGAAAAAAAAATTAAAGTAGCAAATTTTCTAAGTTTTATATTAAATTGCTGGTTCAATATTTTTGAACTTATTGTTTTTGTTTCAGATACCAGCCCCAGGATATTTACGTCGGAACAGGTAAAGTATGAATCGGAATGTAAGTATATTTTTTTTTTATTTATTAATAGTTGTACTATAGATATTAAAATAATTTGAATATGTATTGCAGATAGACGGCAGCCCAGAGAAAAGAAGAAAGTACAGTCCTAGACCTGGAGACGATAAAATTGAGGATGCTCAGATGATGATGTAGGTATTTTGTCATTACAATTGTACTTAAACTGTTAATAAGTTGTAAGGTAATAAAAAAAAATTTCCCTGGAGAAACAGCTTGAAAATTTATTACAAATTAGTCCAACATTTCTTTTGCAAATTTATACTCTAATGAAATATATTTTAATAAAAAAGTATACTTGTATTCCAATTTAGGATTTGAATTAAAACATGCATCACATTAATTTCTGAATAAATTATAACAGCAAATAGTCTCTTAACATTGACAATTTGGAAACCCTTTCTCTAATAGTCTCACCTGAACGAAAGTAAAGTTTCCGTTTGTCAATTTGGATATCTACATATTTAGTCGATTTTTTTAAAGTAATTTGGAAAATATGACTTGATTTAGATTGTTTGAAATTCAGTTGAATTTTAATCATTTCTGTTCAAAATGTATACATCAGATTGTTTTGGTTAGCCACCAACTTCTGATAATTTGACAGGAACATTAATTTCGGAAATAATGATTATATCTTAAAACCGTCTGCATTACTGATTGAAATATAGATTAAAAATGAAAATAAGTGAATGATATATAGTCAAAAAGAGCAATTGACCAATGATGATGGCTGCCATTAATGCCAGTTTTTCTATATAGATATTTTGAAAGAAAAAAAAATTATAGTAGCAAATTTTTTAAGTTTTATATTTGGTTCAATATTTTTGAACTTATTTTGTTTTTGTTTCAGATACCAGCCCCAGGATATCTACATCGGAACAGGTAAAGTATGAATCGGAAAGTAAGTATATTTTTTTTTTTTTATTTCTTAATAGTTGTCCTATAGATATTAAAATAATTTGAATATGTATTCCAGATAGACGGCAGCCCAGAGAGAAGAAGAAAAAGTACAGTCCTAGACCTGGAGACGATTAAATTGAAGATGCCTTGGTGATGATGTAGGTATTTTGTCATTACAATTGTACTTAAACTGTTAATAAGTTGTCAGTTTTCCTTGGAGAAACAGCTTGAAAATTTATTACAAATTAGTTCATAATTTAAACTCTAATGAAATATATTTTAATAAAAAAGTATACTTGTATTCCAATTTAGGATTTGAATTAAAACATGCATCACATTAATTTCTGAATTAATTATTACAGCAAATAGTCTCTAAACATTGACAATTTGGAAATCCTTTCTCTAAAAGTCTCACCTGAACGAAAGTTAGTTAACGATTGTCAATTTGGATATCTACATAAATGTATACATCAGATGTTTTGGTTAGCCACCAACTTCTGATAATTTGACATGCACATTAATTTCGATATAATGATTATATTATTAAAAAGTCTTCAATACTGAAGTCAAATAAGGATGTACCAGCAGTTATATATATTAAGATATCCTACAATCTATACACATCACAAATTCATACTTTTGTGTTTCTCTTACCAAAGCAAACTACTGTAAATTCAGAAATTATTGTGTATAGATGTAGGAAGATGTGGTATGAGTGCCAATGAGACAACTCTCCATCCAAGTAACAAAGTAAACCATTATAGGTCAAGGTACGGCCTTCAACACGGAGCATCGGCTCACACCAAACAGCAAGCTATAAAGGGCCCCAAAAATTACTAGTGTAAAACCTTTCAAACGGGAAAACCAAAGGTCTAATCTATGTAAAAACGAGAGAACTACTGTACATCATGTGTGCATTTATTATTGCTATTTTTACATAATGGACTAAAAGTAAGATTATTTTATTGAATTTCAGGAAATTCTTCATACAGATATCAGAATTGGAGTTTCTTATTATTGCAATACTCAACCTGTCACATTATTTAGATTAATAAAACCTTGCAAAAGTGTTTCTGAATTAACGGTAAATTATTTGTGCCAGAAGTTATCCAACACATAACTCATCTATAATTTTTGTTTTTGTTACAAATGCAGGCCTGAGAAGTTTCAGTGGTACAGCTTGAAGATGGTTCCATTGTGCATAGAAGATGAAGATGAGTTAGGTTAAACCTTGTTAGGTAATGATAAAATCAGTTTCCCCTGGGAAAATTGCTTGGTTTTTTAATTACAACTGGGTTTAATATTTATAGCTTTCAAATTAATATTCTAATGATACATTCTTTAATAAAAATGTATTGTTATAATCTATTTTCATGTTACCGAATTGACTCCAGAATATAGAACTTTTCGATAGGTAACCTACTCTGTGGTAGGACATTCTAGTACTCTGTGATGTAAGAAAGACTGAAAGAAGTAAAATCATGTAAGCTTACAGTCGAAAAAGTTTTATTTTTTTTTTGAGAGTCATCTCATCTGTGTAAAAATTTTGACCGTTTGTGGCCTAAAAGTTTATTAGCCATTCATAAGGAGCAAACTTCAAAGACCGTGACACACCTTTCAATTCAAAGGAACACAGTATGGCTCCCTATAGCTTTATATATGGCAGCCAAACAAGTTGGAATTGAAGATAGTGACCGGACAACAGAATACTTGGGGGAATAAAAATAATTTGGTTTATAAATCCAGACAATAAAATTTCTTAAATGTCCAAAAACACAGATGAGAATTAACTGAGAGCCCAAAGGATGATGTGAGATGCCCATCTGTCCTTTGATATATCAACACTAATATGAAATGCTTCTAAGACCTGTAGAACAAGCATTCTGAGAGTATTGCATGACAATACATAGTCCCCTACCGGGTAAAAATTCATTATACTGGAACAAAATGCTAACTTGTTCTATAACTTGTCATGGTGTAAACAAAAAGTAAATATCATTTCAATATCTTCAAGCATGACTAAAAACAGTGTTGAAAACTGATTATATGAGTGAATTTTTCAAGTACAAGGACCATAACTATGCACAAAATTATTAGACCGAAAGAAAAATTTGAACTTGATCTGTAACTTGTCATGATAAAACTATATACCAATTATCAATCAATATCTTATAAGCAATATGAAAAAAACATTAGATATGATTAATAGTTCTCTAGAATTAGATATGATGTAATACAGTGTATATCTATTTCAAATTATAATCAGATATAATTAATAGTTCCAAATATTTTTTTCTTTCATTTGTCACCAACTAATATAGATTTGTAACTTATCTATAAAATGTCAACAACTTTTATCTACACAATGTAATGTATTGAAATATATACATTAATAAAAAATAGATTATTATCTAATTATAGGATTTCTCTTCATAATTTTTTTTGGATATATATAGCATTCAGAAAATTAGTTTACACTAAATAACAAACAAACCTGTCAAAAAATTCTTCAAATAATTTAAAAAAGAATGTCTTTTAAAAAATGAATTATCTCCCTTTGTACAGAAATATGGTTTAACATAGTACTCCAACATTAGATATGGTCCAGAGTTATGGTCCATAACTCTGGACTAAATCATCAGACCGGTACAAAATTCGAACTTGATCTATAACTTGTCATGATAAAACTATATACCAAATATCAAATCAATATCTTCAAGAACGAAGAAAAAAAGTGTGGAAAGCTGATTTGCCGGACTGAAGGATGGACAGACGGACAGAGTGCAAACCTAAAGTCCCATTTGACTTCGTCAGTAGGGGACTAATTAACAACTAAAACTGCATATGTGCAAAATTAATATTTAAAAAAGTTAAATTGTAAATGTACAAACTGTTCAAGATTAAGTTTAACTTTGGTGAACATATTTAAGAGTAGTTGAAGAAATCATAATATATATGTAACACTCCCAAACGTGTCCATTCCCCCAAAACATGTCAGATTACCCCAAACGTGTCTATTTCGCCCAAACGCAGCCTAAGAATCTTAAATTGCCCAAACGTGACTGATTTCACTCCCCCAAACGTGTCCAATAATGTTATTCGCCAAAACGTGTCCAGTTTAAAGCGCCAAAACGTCTCAAAACTATATATGTCTCCTGTGAATTTTACGGCAATACAATGATGGGGGACACGATAGAAGACGTCGGGTTTGGGTTGGATTCTAAAAATAAATCTAAGCAGCTATCAAAGGACATCTGGAGGAAAGATATAGTAATCCGCATAGACAAATATCCAAGATATGGTACAATGTGCACAGGGACTTCTGCTTTCAAATAAACAGACACAGTGTAAGAAAAAGGATGACAAAATGAAAAGCTATTTTAACTTACAGCGGTTTTATTAATTTTTTATCAATAGAATTGTCATTGTTTTAAATAACAGATGGAGGTACTTCATAATTAAGAAATCTCATACAATTTATATTGCATGTTTTCCCAGTGCTTCACTGTTAATACAGTGGTCATTTATTAGCATTAATTTGTTCAATGCCCGTTGTTTATATTAAGCATTATTGCAAGCTTAATTTAACTATTGACTGTTGATTGCTTAATGCCAGTGGCAAATATTTCAAGCATATTTAGAGCAAACAATTGCACAGAAAACGCAATTAACTAGTTTTGTACAGTGTAAATCATCGTTTACTTAGTGAATTATTTTGTACTAATATACTCCGGTGATGCCTAAATATCTGTATAATGTATGAGGGTATTGCACGACAGGCTTCCTGCAGAAGTTGTTTCTGGGCTTTTTAAAAGAAACCTTTGGTTCCATATAGACTGGATATGTTGGGGCGTTCATAAACAGAACACGTTTTGATGCCCTTAAGCAACAAGTCATATTTTGCAGTTCATTGACGTCATATGGACACATTTGGGGGGATGGACACGTTTCTGAGTGGTACATATATACAATAACTATCTGATTTCAATCTACATGCAGAGTGAAAAAAAAAAATAAAGCATCAGGGATAACAGTTCCAAGCAAGATGGTAACATAGATCTTCATTACTAACTCAGAGGCTCTGCCATGAAAAAAATAAAGAAGCAAGGACAGCAGCTCCAAGGAAGATTATTACATTGATCATCTTCCAAGTCTGATGTGTGGCCATTAAAGAAATAATGTAAGTACAATTAGGCAATACAATTTCTGTATATTCTCTAAAAATATGTGATAAAAATACAGAAGGCAACTTCCGTCTTCTTATTTTCCACACTTACAACACACAAAAAAAATAATTTATCAATTCAATATATGGTTTCAAGGAACATGAATAAAGCTTTCAAATCACAAAAACTAAAATTCAGAGAGAATTTTTCCTTCAAGGGGAAAATAGTACAACAAACGGCAAGACTGTTTCATTCATTTGGAGATTACTCATTGAAAATATTAGGCTGGCAATTTCAACAAGATTTGTAAAATGTATAATTTATGTCAATTTTAATTCCTTTTTAGGTTATTTCTGAGCGGTACATATATACAATAACTATCTGATTTCCATCTGCATGCAGAGTGAAAAAAAAAATAAAGCAGCAGAGATAGCAGTTCCAAGAAAGATGGTAACATAGATCTTCATTGTTAACTCAGAGGCTCTGCCATGAAAAAAATAAAAAAGCAAGGACAGCAGCTCCAAGGAAGATTATTACATTGATCATCTTCCAAGTCTGATGAGTGGCCATTAAAGAAATAATGTAAGTACAATTAGGCAATACAATTTCTGTATATTCTCTAAAAATATGTGATAAAAATACAGAAGGCAACATCCATTTTCTTATTTTCCACACTTACAACACACAAAAAAAATTATTTACCAATTCAATATATGGTTTCCAGGAACACGAATAAAGCTTTCAAATCACAAAAAGTAAAATTCAGAGAGAATTTTTCCTTCAAGGGGAGACTAGTACAACAAACGGCAAGACTGTTTCATTCATTTGGAGATTACTCATTGAAAATATTAGGCTGGCAATTTCAACAAGATTTGTAAAATGTATAATTTATGTCAATTTTAATTCCTTTTTAGGTGATTTCAGTGTTTTCATGGATGGGAGTAAGACTTGGTGCTATAATATGTCTAATATTTAAGTAGGTATATAATTCCTCTATTTAAACAAGTTTTATTTTAATCATAAAATAAGTTTATAGGAAATAAAATATGCTCTATCCTTGAAGATGTAAGAGGTCAGAAGTTTGTTTTTTTCATATCAGTACCAAAATTTGACCAAATGTTTTAAAGATTTTAATTAATTCTGTGGATGTCATATTTTTGTGTTGTTGGGATGTTGTCACATTAATGTATACAACACATCTTCTGTTACTCATTTTTGTCTTGCCTTGACGGAGTCAAAATGTGAGACATAGATATGCTATTTCCAAAGGCGGCGGCGTCAACAATGTATTAGTTTGTGATTAGGTCTAGTTCATGGTGAACCACTAGTGGTAGGTCAATGATATTTGGTATGCAGTTGTATAAGCATTGGCATATCTCATTTCCATGGAGATTATTTGGCCCCGCCCCTCATTCATGGCCTATTGACTTTGATACTTTTGCTTAGTTTGTGATTAGGTCAGTTTATGGGGAACCACTAGTGGTAGGTCAATGATATTTGGTATGCAGTTGTATAAGCATTGGCACATCTCATTTCCATGGAGATTATTTGGCCCCGCCCCTCATTCATGGCCTATTGACTTTGAAACTTTTGCTTAGTTTTCATGTATTAGTTTGTGATTAGGTCAGTTTATGGGGAACCACTAGTGGTAGGTCAATGATATTTGGTATGCAGTTGTATAAGCATTGGCATATCTCATTTCCATGGAGAATATTTGGTCCCTACCCCTCAGTCATGGTCTATTGACTTTGAAACTTTTGCTTAGTTTACATGTATTAGTTTGTGATTAGGTCAGTTTAAGATTAACCACTTATGTTAAGTCAATGATATTCGGTATGCAAATGTATTGGCATTGTGAAATTCTATTTACAAGAAAAATGGATTATTAATACACAGCGTGTTGACATGTATCATCGCACATGCATTACCTGTCCTTTATTGCCGATTGGGTATTTTAGTTCAGCTTATATCTATTAATAACAACCAATGATATAAGGAATTCCATACTGGCCACTCTTGACATCTAGCTCTCTTATTGCTTTGTGAGATGTGAGAAGGGAACCAATCAGAACAAGGCCCTTATTTCAAATTATCCAATCAGCAGAGATAATTAATTAATTTTCATCCTTTTGGTTTAATTACTGCGTGCCTCATTTAGGCATTCTGCAAGTTTCATTTCCATGGAGATTATATAACCCCACCCCCTAATTATGGTTCATTGATTTTGAAACTTTAACATAGTTTACAAGTTAATGTTTGTGTTAAGGTTTGTTTAAAGGGAACAACTTATGAAAAGTCAATGGTATTTGGTTTGCAGTTGTAGTAACATTGGCACATCTCATTTCCATGGAGATTGTTTAGCCCTGTACCTTCAGTCATGGTTCATTGACTTTGAATATTTGCATAACTTACATGTTAAAGTATTGCTTTTTTAATTTCAACATTTGCATTATCAAAATAACAAATAGGCGAGACAATTATCTCTGTGTTAACAGTTATGTCATATATGACCTATTTCCATATACTCTGGATTTATTATTCTTTGGATACCAATTTTCGTGGATACATAAGCGACCAACATATATAAATGTTCAATGTAGTACAAATTTTCTATAGGCTGGTATGCCAACTTTAGCAAACCCACAAAAATACAATTGTTCCTCAATCCACAAAAATGAAGAAATGTTCAGAATGTTGAGATCTACCTGCTGTACAATTACGTCAAAACTGTCAGACATTCTTAAAGGAGTTATTGCCCTTAAATGTAAAGTTTTACCAATTTTTTTTCATTTTTTATCCATTATCATTTTGAAAATAAAAATAGATGGAGAGAAATTTTAATACAAAAAAAGCAAGAAAAGATATGCACAAAAGTCAAATGACTGAAATCTTCTGAGGACTAGTTATTCGAGTTATTGATCTTCAATGTAGATTTTTACCATTGATCAGCAAGTCAAGATTTACAAAAAAGCTGCCTTGGATTAAATCTTAAGTAGACCTGTTCATGGAGTTTATGCCGTTTTTTTACCACATTTTTTTAGTTTTTGCCTATTATCTTGAAAAAAGTAAAATAGATACAAATGTAGATAGAAACTTTAAAAAGCAAAAATTATCAACAGGACAAGACCTGCAAATATGTCAACATGACTGAAATCGTCAGTTTACTCTTTATAGAGTTGTTGCCCTTTTGTGATGATTTTTACCATGAAGTGGTTATTGTTGAAGATGCAGATGAGTGACACAGGCTCTTAAGAGCCTCTGTTTTGAACAATTTTGATTGACTAAGCATTTTACTTTCAGGCTAGCATTAATTACTGCTTGTCAGTATGGATTGTTTAGAATGGTCATTGGAGCTGTCTTTTAAGGTAAGAACCATTGCATAGATTTATAAACTTGTCGATTAAAGATTATGAAAATGCACTTGCATTTTGCCTGTGACATTTTGTCGCAGAAGCCAGGCATAGCAATTCACATTATTTTGTTTTAGATGTCCAAATTTATGTTCAGTATTATGGTTAAAAAGTTTTCAAACATCAAAAACTTTATCAAACTTTAAAGTAATTGTACATCAGAAGAATCCACAGCAAAATTTTGAAATTCAAATTGAAGGAATACGTCAAACGTCAAACCTTCATAGAATTTTATGAAAATATGAAAATACGACAAAAAACAGTTATTTTATCAGTTTGATATTTGGTTTCCAGTAACATGAATAAAATAATATATAATTAAAATAATATATCATTTGAAAATTAAATTCTGAGATAGATTTCACCTTCAGGGGGAGGCTAGTACAACAAACAGCAAGAATATGTCATTCAATGGGAGATAACTCATAGATTATTGAGAAAAAAATTAATGTTAAAACAAAATCAAAACATGGTTTTTTTTCGGTTTTATAGATATTAAACTGGTTTTGATGCTATGCGAAATCTTAAAATAAAAATTGAGAGGAATCTAATGTGCATTAAGGTGGTACCTAACACTACAGGGAGATAACTCTTTAAAAATCAACTAAACGTTTTAATCACGTTGTATTGTTAATGAAATATTAAGCTTCTCAATGATCAAAATTAGTGTTTGTCAAACTGCTATATAACCAGTGAATTTTTTCTGATAAAGTGGTTGGTTCAAATTATTTGAAATTTTTATATTTTTGTCAGAGGGTCAAAGTAAACATTTTGTCAAAATTTTAGGAAAATTAAACGAGCCAAATTAATATTAGTCAAGGTGTTGGGTACCACCTTAAGCTTGATAGTTTTAAGAGATTGGTCAGAAGTTCTTTTTGTCTACTTTGCACCACAGGGGATATATGGTTATGGTCTTTGTCCAAGTGTCGTAAACACATTAATACTTAAGGATGGTTGCTCTTTTTTTTTTTCTTAACTTTTTGTCAGATATTCAGAATCCTCTTGTTTTATCCATGAAGTGCCATTACAATTTTGCCCACTTACCCCTACTTAGGGAGCTACCATTTGATTTTTATGGGGGGGGGGGGGGGCTGGTGCTAGGATGAAATTTGAAAAAAAAGGCAGGACAGGAGTTTTGAGTAAAAAAAAAAGGCAGGATGAGCAAGTGCAACTTGGCAAAAAAAAATGTTTATGTATGATTTTTCAAGAGATTGCAAGAAAATACATGCAAGCCCAATTACATCCTAGTCGAGTGTCCATGTGTGCCCTATATTAAAGTACATGTACACAAATATATGCACAGCTGCATGTGAATTGAGTTTGGAATGAAGCATTGCTCCACAAAACATTTTTTTGTCAAATTGGTATTGAGTCTCAAGGGCCTGAATGCATAAACCACTTAAGAAATCCAATTGTAGTACTAATTTATTGTAGGACATGTAGAAAAATCTGTCCATTCGGAACAAATCTTAACTTAAGTAGCTTTATAAACTATGCATACAGGCCCAGGCTACTATCTGAGAATGCACTAGCTAAACTAGCCTTTTGGTCATAATATCCCAATATAAATGATTCCATATCCAGATGATCAACGTTAAACAATAAAATATATAAAAAACCTCTGTTTGATCTACAAATCATTAGTCTTCTTTAATGTTATAAATCAATAATCCTTTTTTCCAGACAAAATAACAACACTGGTTGATACAATTCTAGGAACCGGTGAAGAAGTTAAAAGTTTTACAATATACTGAAGACTTGCAACAGAAAATATTTTACTGAACAGTATGAGAGAGCCAAGATGATTGTTGGATTTAGAATGCTTGGAAAATACAACCAAATGAAGACAAACAATGCACTGCATCAACAAACAAAACAACTACTGGAAAGTTGGGGCATCAGTACTGAGTTCTGATACTAAAAACAATTGTTAAGAAGACTGTACATACATGTATATATATATATATATATTTATATAAGAAAAAAAATAATGCATGTCCTTGAAACTTGTGTACATACATGTAATGAATAGAAAAAAGGAAAGAAAAAAAAAGGAAAACAAAATGAAAAGAAAAAAAAAAAAAAAAAAAAAAGAAAAAAAAAGAAAGAAAATTAATAAAAGAAAGAAAAGAAAGAAAGAAAATTAAAATAAAGAAAGAAAATTAAAAAAAAAGAAAAGAAAAGAAAAGAAAGAAAAAAGAAAAGAAAAAGAAAAAAAAATTGAGGAGGGAGGTGGGTAATGCAGCCAAGTAATACTGTATTCACCAATTTTCATGCACCATAACACCCACAATCGTGATAGTACTCTTAGATTGACCTCAAAAATTTGTGATTAAATAATATAACCTCATTATGCAGGAAATCTATTTTAAAAATTATCTTTCATCATCTAGAGCAGACCAATATTTACGTCTTTTACCATTTTCATTGATATAAGATACCCCATTTTTAATTTCTAAATAAAACCAAGGTGCGTATTATTATGAATACAGTACAACTTGCCAGTCACAAGCCTGGAATAAAGAGCCACATTAAATATCAAGAATTTAGTTAGTTTAAACAGGACTGTTTACAACTTTTTTGCCATTAATAGTATATGCATGTTACTCATATTTTTTTCATTTTCTTTCAATAGGTCAATATAGAAAACATGTGTGCTTATTGTTTTTCTATAGCATGTTTAGTAAAATGTACCTACCCTTTTTGAAAGTCTCAATATACAAACCCTTAATTAATTGCTTTCACAACTTAATTGCAGGTGTTTCCCATATACATGTGCTCCAGTAAACAAAAAAATTCTGAAACAAATTGTACATTCTAGTTGTACATTATGTGTCATACTAGTAAGAAAAAGGGGGATACAAATTTTAAAACTTTTTAACATATATTTAAATCATGGATTTATTGTGGCTTTTAATGCAGAGTGAACCATCATATAGTTTTAATTTTAGATTCATTGTGGCTGTTAATGCCGAGTGAACAATCATACAAATGCTTGCAAACTTTGTTTGGTTGTTTGCTCAGACATTGTAATTAAGATTGACACCTAAATTCAATGGGTAGGCAGAGTAACAGTCTGTTATAAACATATACAAATATAGATAGAAACTTTAATAAAATGTTCCGCTGGGCGCAGCTTGATACGACCGCAGAGGAACCCTGAACAGTTGGGGCAAGTATGGACACAACATTCAAGCTTGATACAGCACTGAATTTGGATTGTGATTAAATATTTGACACAGCATAGTTTTCTGACAAAGAATGATTGTGGTCCAAGAACTTAAAAATTTTTAATTTACCAATTCAAACCATATCATTATTATTTGCTTTTATATATAAATCAGAAATAACCAATTTAAAATGGGAAATTTTAAAGAAAAAAAGGAAAAAAATTCCCCCCTCAAATTTTTTGAACCCCCTAATGATACATCACCCCCAAACTCAATCCCAGCCTTCCCTTTGTAGTATGGTACCTTGCAGTACAATTTCAGAGAGATCCGTACACTTGAACATAAGTTATTGTCTGGAAACTAGAAAAATGGTTGTTTCTTGGCCCCTTATTCCTAAACGTTTAGGGCAATAACCCCCAAACTCAAACCCAGCTTTTCCTTTGTGATATGGAACCTTGTAGTACAATTTCATAATGATCCATACACTTACACACAAGTATTGTCCTGAAACTAGAAAAATGCTTGTTTTATCCCCCTTTTTGGCCCCTAATTCCTAAAATTTTGAGGCAATTACCCCCAAAATCAATCCCAGCCTTCCCTTAGTGGTATGGTACCTTGCAGTACAATTTCAGAGAGATCCAAACACTTGAACACAAGTTATTCTCTGGAAACTAGAAAAATGCTTATTTTTGGCCCCTTTTTGGCCCCTTATTCCTAAACAATTTGGGCAATTACCCCCAAACTCAATTCCAGCTTTCCCTTTTGTGATATGGAACCTTGTAGTACAATTTCAGAAAGATCCATACACTTACACACAAGTTATTGTCATGAAACTAGAAAAATGCTTGTTTTTTGGCCCCTAATTCCTAAAATTTGGAGGCAATTACCCCCAAAATCAATCCCAGCATTCCCTTTGTGATATGGAACCTTGTGGTACAATTTCAGAGAGATCCATACACTAACACACAAGTTATGTCTGGAAGTTACAAAAATGCTTATTTTTGGCCCCTTTTTGCCCCCTAATTCCTTAACTGTTGGTACATTATAACCCCCAAAATCAATCCCAACCTTCTTTTTGTGGTATTGAACCTTATGGTAAAATTTCATAGAGATCCATTTACTTAAACTAAAGTTAGAGTGTGAAAACTAATGTGTCTTCGGATGACAACGACGACGACGACGCCAACGTCATACCAATATAGGACTGCAATTTTTTTTGCAGCCATATAAAAAGCAAACATGATCAGCAGCACAAAATCTACAAATATGTCAACATGACTGAAATTGTCAGTTAACTCTTTATAAGAGTTATTGCCCTCTGGTGATGATTATACCCAAGAAGTGGTTATTTTTGAAGATGCAGTTGAGAGACACTGGCTCTTTGGAGCCTCTGTTTTGAACTATTTTGATTGACTAAGCATTTTATTTTCAAGCTAGCATTAACTACTGTCAGTATGGATTGATGTTTAAAACGGACATCGGAGCTGACTTTTTAGGTAAGAACCATTGCAGATCATTGAATAGATTTATAAACTTGGTGACTAAAGATTATGTAATCGCCCTTGAATTTTGTCAAGTCTGTGACATTTAGTCACAAAAAGCCAGGCATAGACATCCTACATTAGGTTGTCAAAATTTAGGTTCAGATTTTGTGGTCAAAAAGTTTCTAAACATCAACAACTTAGTCAAACTTTGAAGTAATTGTACATTAGAAGAATCCACAGCAAAATTTTGAAAATGTTATTTTTCTGTTTTCTGTAGTTTACAATTGGTGCAATTTGTGGAAATAGTTAATTGTTATATGTTTTTTATACATGACAAAATCATAGGAAAACAGTCAGCAAAATATTAAATACAAAAAAAAAAAAAAGACCTGCCTCCATCTTTTTTTTAGAAGTCATTATCTGATAACCAGAAAATATATTTGACACAGTGGCGGATTTAGGGGGGGGGGGGGGGGGCTTTTGTGGGAAAAATTTGGTTGATTATATAGGGAATCACCGAAGCATGACTGGAGCGGGCCCCCTCTTAGGCAGTCAGTGAGCCCCCTCTTATGAAAATTTCTGGATACGCCATTGTGACATAGCCTGTATATTGAAAATTGTACAATGATTCCTTGATAAATAATAACTGAAACTGTTTAAGATATTTTCAGTAAAGGACAGTACAGTTTCTGATTGTCAATTTGGATATGTATTCTTGTGTAGTACAATGGCACATAATATATATCAGTGACTTGATACATGTATGAACATATTGATACATTCCGTCCTAATATTTAGTTGTGTGAAGAGCCCAAAGCCCAAGTTTTTTTGCATATATAGACTGATATTAAAATGAATTCCTGCATAACAAATTCAGGGAATGAGACGCTAATAAAACAAGCCATAAGTATAGTGGTTAAGGTTTTTTGTCGAGCCTGCGACTTTTGTCGCAGAAAGCTCGACATAGGGATAGTGATCCGGCAGCAGCGTCGGCGTTAGCTAACTTCTTAAAAGCTTTATATTTTATAAGGTGGAAGGTCTGGATGCTTCATACTTTGTATATGGATGCCTCATGTTACGAAGTTTCTGTCAGTCACATGTCCAATGTCCTTGACCTCATTTTCATGGTTCAGTGACTACTTGAAAAAAAAGTTAAGATTTTTTGTAATGTTAAATTCTCTCTTATTATAAGTAATAGGATAGGATAACTATATTTGGTATGTGCGTACCTTGCAAGGTCCTCATGCCCGTCAGACAGTTTTCACTTGACCTCGACCTCATTTCATGGATCAGTGAACAAGGTTAAGTTTTGGTGGTCAAGTCCATATCTCAGATACTATAAGCAATAGGTCTAGTATATTCGGTGTATGGAAGGACTGTAAGGTGTACATGTCCAACTGGCAGGTGTCATCTGACCTTGACCTCATTTTCATGGTTATAGTTAAGTTTTTGTGTTTTGGTCTGTTTTTCCTATACTGTATGCAATAGGTCTACTATATTTGGTGTATGGAATGATTGTAAGGTGTACATGTCTAGCTGGCAGGTGTCATCTGACCTTGACCTCATTTTCATAGTGCAGTGGTCAAAGTTAAGTTTTTTCTAATACTATATTCAATAGTTCAACTATATTTGATGTATGGAAATATTTTATGATCTATTTGTCAGTCACACAGGTTTTTTTTTTACCTTGACCTCATTTTCAATGTTCATTGCTCAGTGTTAAGTTTTTGTGTTTTGGTCTGTTTTTCTTAAACTATAAGCAATAGGTCAACTATATTTGTTGTAATAAAGCTTTATATTTAGGACTATCAACATAATATCAATGATTAGTAAAGAAGGCGAGACATTTCAGCGTGCATATCATATAAAGTTATAAAGGGACATAACTGAAGAACAGTAAAAGTGACGCTACCCAAATTTGAACTTGATCTGAGTTTTGTGGTAATAAGCATTGTGTATAAATCTCATAACATTTGGTTAAGGCAAACTTAAGTAGAGAACAGAAACTAAAAATTCAGCAAATTTTCTATTTGTAAACATGCATAACTCTAGAACAGTTGTGTAAGTTTTATAACATTTGGTTGAGACAAACTAAAGTTAGAGAACGGAAACGAAAAAATTCAGCAATTTTTATGTTTATAAAGGAATATAACTCAAGAATAGTAAAAGTGTCCCCACCAAATTTCTTACTTAATCTGTATTATGTAGTAATAAGCATTGTGTATAAGTTTCATAACATTTGGTTGAGGCAAACTAAAGTTAGAGAACAGAAACCAATATTGGGACGTATGTACGCCCCTTTGCTACGGCGGGGGCA